AGCACTCACTTTTAAGAACACAACTAAAGAGTTCACCAAAAACAACAATAGTGACTTGATAGAAGTGTTTCTAAACAACCATGTACACTTTACCTAAAACACGCTTGAGCAACTGAGCTATATACAAAAACTTTCAGCTCATATTGGATCTAGTTCCCTTTCTTTTACCCAATGAACTTTCTACTGAATTTTAACACTCAAACATGTTCTCACTTCAAAATACAATTTTCAGTTCTAGTCTAAAAAATGCAACTCAAATAATACATTCTTTTCAGCAGCTCTTTCAAGAAGAAGAGATGAAAAAATAGAGAAAACATGTAGATTGCCGGTCAAAAGAAAAACTATAGCAGGTAGCTCGCACAACAAAGAAATAGAGAAACAAAAAATAACAAGAAGAAAAAAAGATTGGAAGAAGAGATGAAAAGCTAACCTTGCAGTCGCTTGAAAGAGTGTCGCAACAAGAGAAGTGAAACAAAGAAAAATCTTTGGAAATAAGTCGCAAAGTGTTTTATTATGGATTTTCTTAAGAAAAAATTAGAAATTTCCAACCTCGTTGTAGTAGTAAAGAGAGCTTTTCCTAGCTTCTGGGACTGAAACACTCACTCTTTATCTATAGCCTGGTCTCACTATAATAAAGTAATATAACTTCTCTTATCTTTTCACTTTAAGCGACAAAGTGCACACTTTTAATAACGCTACTCAATAGTTATCCCAAAATAGTTTCATAGACACTTGATAGGAGTGTCGTTAATATGCCATGTACATCTTTCCTAACAAAGCTTGAGCAACCAAGACATATTCTAAATGAACTGAGTTCCCTTTCATCAAACCTCAGTGAACTTTTTGTTGAAATCTAAGACTCAAAACATGTTCTCAGATCAAAATATAGTTTTTAGTTCTAGTTCTAGAACTCAAGTCATAAATCACTTCCAGCAGCTCCATCAAAAATAAGAATATTAAAAAAACAGAGAAAAGTTACAGATTGCAAGTTAAAAAAGACATGTATCAACAAGCTAGTAGTAGAGAAACAAAGAAAAGAAGTAGAGAAGTGGAGAAGAAGAGAAGAAAATATAAGAATGTAATGCATGCCATAAATTCCTTCTCAGATTTACTTTATGACGACTTCTAACAAAATTCAACAGTGAAAAATGTAATTTTCAAACTATCAATTTCACCAATCATAAAGTTGTCAAAAGAGTACTATCACAGACTAAAAACTCAAGTCTCATCAACTCGGCTTGTTTTCAAGTTCTTCAAACAATTCAACTTCAACAGGGAGACCTGGAAAACTATTCAGTTTCTAAACGTAGAGATACAATCATAAAAATCAAACATTCCTCTTCAATTAAATCTCAATATCGATAAGAAATTCAGTTTCAGTTTAATATCCCCAAGTCGAACATACAGATCAACATACCACAAAACTTTTTAAATAGTTTGGTGTTGTTGTTGAGATTTCTACTCAAGGTATTTTCATGTTTTTAGGAAAGTATCAGAAATACCAATAAAACAGGGTCCTAATGTAGTCGATTCAAGTAAAGTAATTGATATTCATCAATTAAAGTAAAAAAAAATTCAAACAATCACGAGAGTTGAATATGTTAACAGTAACATTAGCAAATAGAGTAATCAATTTCCCCTTAAATCAATAGCAGGCGTAAATCACACAACACACTTAGTAAATACAGAAGAAATTACTTTCATAAAATCACAAATCGTCACAATTGTATGAATACCTAGGAATCAAAATATTTGTCAGATGAAGACAATAAATTGAAGGATGAGATGAATCCAGTAAAACCTACAAGAAAACATAAAGTAAGAACTAAATTGTGAAAACCTTGAAACTTCACATGGCTCCCAACATCAATATTTTTTCAATTAGTTAACAGAACTTGACCCAAAAATCCTACCAGTGACTATGTGATCAAAGGTTTGTTTCAGTAAGATCATGAGTTTGTATGAAATTAAAACCTTAGGATTACCTATGGATGGAGATTTTGAAAGGCAAAGATGATGACTACCATGGATTTTTTTGCTTGAGCAATGTGTTGAGGGCCCGAGGCGATATACAAATAACTCTAGACTTAAGCGGGAGTAGGATTTTAAAAAAAAAAAAATAAAGTTTCTTGTTACTAATTGGAGGGAATGTTTTATGTAGTAGAAAAATTAGAGGAAAAAGTTAATAGCATGAAAAGTTATGTTAAATTAGTGATATTTACTGGAAAATCATTTTAATTGTCACTAAAAAGATATCTTTTAATGGCTATAGTACATATGCCGCTAATATTTCAGCTTAAAGAATTAATTAGTGGCAAATGACTAATTGCAGCTAAATAATTGCCACAAAAAACATGTTTTGTAGTAGTGAATCAAGAATTATGTTTAGGATATATAGGATTTCTCAATGATTAGATGTAGTTTGGATAGTTAAAATCAGAAAGAGAGCGAAGATACATTTTGAAAGAACAAATACGAAATAAAGAATGGAGAAAGAAAGTGTACTGACGCTCTGCGCGCACTATTGGCGGCGCCGCCAGACCTCCATTTATTGGGGGCCTAATTGGTCGCGTCAGGTCTCTATTTATTGGGGGTCTGATTGGGCGCACTGTTGACGCGTCATGCTAGACCCCCATTTGGGCACACTACTAGAGCAACATACCAACCCCCTAGTGTTATAGGGGCGCGCCGCCCCAACCCAAATGGATTTCTCGAGACGAATGTATGTAATTATTGATAGCGATTTTTATTTTTTTATTAGTAATTGTTAGTAAAATTTTGGTTGGTATATTTAGTAGTGGTTATTAGTGATATCTCTTTTCTCGATTGCGACGAATTATTGTTATTCAAAACGTTTCTGAAATTTCGAGTCTGTTATTGATTTCGAAAAAAATAAAAAAAAATTTGGACAAAACTATTAATGGAAGATATTTTTATTCAATTTCGAAGAATCCTAAAGCATTATTATCATTTTTGATTCATTAAATTAAAGAAATCATTTTTATACAAATACATGAATGTTATTGTTGCATGTTATATTTTTGCATGAGGTGCTGACCAATCAAGAATTCACATATTCAGAAGATGCATGTTGCGGAAATGGGGATGTGGAGATGGATGTGTGGGCACACTAGGAGCAACAATTTTAAGAATAAGGTTATCCAAGAAAAAGTGGGAGTGACCTTTATGGCGGACAAGATGAGAGAAGTGAGATTGAGATGGTTTGGACATGTTAAGAGGAGGTGTGAGAGACTGACTATAGGGGTACACAGAGGAGTAGTGGTTGGCCGAAAAAGATTGAAGAGAGGTTATTAGACATGACATGACGTAATTTCATATTATCGAGGACATAACTCTAGATAGGAAAGAGTGAAGATTGCGTATTAAGGTAGAATGTTGGTAGGAGTATAATGTTGTCTTACTTTGCGAGGATTTAGACTTGTTAGTGCCTGTCGTACTACTAGTCGTACCCTTGCAGTTTTTGTCATATGTTGTTTATTGTGTTTTGAGTGTCACACTATTTTATTTTGCTATTGTTCCCTCTTGTATACTCTACAATGTTTTTTTTTTAAAGGGAAAATGCATAAGTACCCCCCCAACCTATGCCCGAAATCCCAGAGATACATCTAATCTTTACTAAGGTCCTATTACCCCCCCCCCCCCCCGAACTTATTTTATATGTAATATTCTACCCCTTTTTGGCCTACGTGGCACTATCTTGTGGGCCCAACGCATGTTGACAATTTTTTCAAGGATAGTGCCACGTAAGCCGAAAAGGGGTAGAATATTATAGATAAATTAAGTTCAGGAGGGGTAATAGGACCTTAGTAAATGTTATGTGTGTTTCTGGGATTTCAGGCATAGGTTGGGGGGGGGGGGGTACTTATGCATTTTCCCTTTTTTTAATTAATTGATATGCTTTCTTCATTGTTTTTTCTTCCTTTACTTGGATTTGATGCATTTGAGTCGATGGTCTTTTAGAAATAACGTCTCTACTTTCACAAAGTAGTGATAAGTTCTATGTACACACTATACTCTGTAGACCACACTTAGTAAGATTTTATTGGATATATTATTATTGATGTTGTGTGTTATATTTTTGTAAAAAATACTAAGTAGGCGTTTCATCTCATGATTTGAAATTCCAAAATTTTTCAAAAATCATGATTTGAAAATTTTCAAATACAAAATTTGACCCGCAAGTTTATATTTTGTAAAAAGAGCCCACATTTAATTTATATATATCTACTAGTTATTTGTTTCATATGTAAATAGATTTTATAATCCATATCATTACTTTTTAAACCGTTTATATCTCATATAAGGATTATTCTTGCCAATATAAAAAAAAAATTCAAATCAATTTTAAATTTATCATTTTTATTCACCAAATTCATTATTTTTTTTATCAAATTCATTACTACTTCATTCAAATCAATGTTAATAATAAAAAATTTCATCATTATATTGAATGTACAAGACTAACCATTGTGACATTAATTGAAAAAATAATTTTCTTAGCTACCAACACCTTGAACACTACAACTTATGTTCAATTTTATTTTTTATTCAATTAAAGTTTGATTAATAAATGCTGTATTTTTTAGAATAGTTTTGTGCAAAAATATATTATGCGATTATATAAATTTTTGCTTATTTGGTAAGATTGTATAGATTTGGGACAATTTTAATAGTTTTACAACTTATGATAATTTTATGTTTATGAGAAAACATACAGTATAAAAAATCCAAATTATATGTTCAAACTAAACACCAACTTCATCTTATGATGTCATATCACATGAACAAACGGGCTCTAAAACTGAGGCTAATATTTAAATAATGTATCACAAAAGTATCCCTTTTGTGCAAATCATCCATTTTTTCACCGGTCCCCAGACCTAATCTAAATTAAAGCCCAACTCCAGTGATTGGGGCCTCCAGCCCATCCAATTGGCACCCGATCATATAAATATATCTCTTTCTACATAACAACTCGTCTAGGGTTTAGGTTTCTTCTTCGCAGCCATCAATCAGCGCAGCGCCAGCCCATTGAAGCGAAAATGGTGAAGGGACGCCAAGGAGAACGCGTTAGGTACATCATTATTTCAATTGCATCTTCCATCTCCATTTTCTCTGCATTAATCATCTGCTCAACCTCATTTTCTCCATATTTTTTCGCAGACTCTACGTTAGAGGAACTGTTCTTGGATACAAAAGGTAGCTTTCTGTTTGTTTTGCAATATTCTGCTTGGTGAAAAGATGTATATTGATCTTTTTTTTCCTCCTTCTTTAGGTCGAAATCGAACCAGTATCCCAACACTTCGTTGATTCAGATCGAGGGAGTGAACACTAAGGAAGAAGTGGACTGGTACCTTGGGAAGAGGCTGGGATACATCTACAAGGCAAAGACAAAGAAGAATAACTCGCACTATCGTTGCATTTGGGGCAAAGTTTGTAGGCCACATGGAAACAGTGGCGTTGTTAGAGCTAAGTTCAAGTCCAATTTGCCTCCTAAATCCATGGTACTTTTTTTATTTTCTTATAATATGCCATTCATTGATTTAATCGTGTTATTCAGCATGCTTGTGATTATGGGAGAGATAAAGATTTGATTTTTACTCAACTGTTGTGTAATTTTATTGCCTAATTTTTCAGGGAGCTAAGGTTAGGGTTTTCATGTACCCAAGCAACATTTAAGGTAACTTCCTTAGTTGGTTGTTTCTTGTGTTTTCATCCTAGTGTTTAGATGTGCTAAGTAATGAAATTGATTGAATTTTGTGTTCCTCTGTTCTCTGTTTAGACACAATTTGCATGGTATAGTTCAGTTTTTAATTAATAAAATGCACTTCAACTTTAGGCGGCTATAGATTGCTTGAGGATCAACTTGGTGTCTGGCCTATGTTATTGAACTTCTAAGCTTCAATGATTATCTTTTGAATATATATTTGGATACTGCCTTGTGTCTTCTCCTTATTGTCTAGCATACTATAGTCAAGAATGGTGTCAAGAGATAATAGAACAGTTAAGAATTATCTTTCAATCTTTCACTATGTATAGTCTTTCTACATATTTGTGAAAATTGCAAGTATTTTAGGATAAGCTGGTAGTGTAAGAGTTATGTAACTAGTTAACAAACTGTTTACTTGACTTCATACCTTAGTTATGACAAATTAGGCTCCTACATACAGGGAATGCTACATATTGGTTCTATCTGAATTCTTTCTAGGATTCTTTATTTTTGTATCTTCTGTTAAAAGTAATTCCAAACTGCTGATATTTACTGAGATTTGAAAAGAACTTCCAAGTGAAACCATTTTTACTACTATGTTTGAGCTTGAAGGTGTACTGTACGATTCATTTGAATAATTATTCACCAAAGAGGTATATCTTGCTGGTGGAACATTAGTGTTGACAAGTGCCTTTGTGAATAAACTTGTGCCTACATATGTGAAGAGAAGTTATCTAAAGATATGGTTAGATGGTTTTCCTTTTTTGATTTGTCATATGAATGTGATTGATGTCTGATTATTTGAGTTGAACTTTTTAGTAGTTATTTTGGCCAGTCTTGTACTCTTGTGACTAATTTCAATTGTATTGTTGTGTACACTATACAACTTGATTATATTTGAAGTTGCTTAAGTTGATCTTTTATTTTGCAGTGAGCATTTAGAGGTCAAGGATCTTGATTGAAATCGTTGGTTGCTTTGGGTGGCTATTGTGTGCTACATCAATGTTTTCAATGATGAGGAATCTTCATCCTAAAAAGTAGTTAGTTAAATTTTGTATTGTGCTTTGTGGAGTCTCATCTTATCTTTTTCGTTTTTATCATTTCTGGTTAATACCAAGACTCATACATCTGATTAGATGCGACTAAATTTGCTTATGGAGCAATGCAACTTTTTTGTATGACTATTCAGCTGTGTTTTTGCTTTAAATCTTTTTTACTCCTACCAGGTTTTATCTATTTGCTTTCGAAGAATAGTTGCATTTGATAGATCCATTCATTATGCTGAAAACAATCTTGGAATTTGCCGCCCACTTTTTTTCCTTGAAAAACTATGGTTCAGTTCGTTTTGGTGTTTGAGAGACATCTATAAATGAAGTAGTGCAATAATTGAGGATTCTATTATTGTTGGATGCCTTTTGGTTTCAGTTTGAGTTGGCAAGTCTAGCATGTTGAGTATAGTTTTGATATGGATTTTACAATGTTCTAAAGCTTAATGCTGTTGATGGTAGGCGTGAGAGTTACCAGGTATTTGTCGAGAATATACTTATTGAGATTTAAGAGTAGCCCTATTTTTTCTGTGATATAATGAAAGGCTTTTATTTCTCTGATGTCATTGACCAGTCTTTTCCCATCTTTTTGAACATTTGCCGGGTGAATCCAAAAGATGGATGTACATTTGCAAGATTTATTAGATTATTAGATGATTCAGATTTGAATATTTATCTGTACAACCTTTAGGAATTTGCTATTAAATTCATTATACTTCCCCTGCTCTTGCTTCTTCTGTGTGTGGTTAAGTAGATAGCGTCTATTAATTCATAGTTTTATCATATATCTATGTTAGATACATAACATATACTCCGTGACAATTTTAAACTTCACATTGTGCTTTCATTAAGCACCGTGCAACACTTGACAATTCGATCACTTTCAAAATGGGTAATGCTGGGTTGGGCTGAAATCAAGGGAAAATTGTATGAAATAACAAACTATTAATTCAAATTAAATGTTATAGCCATAGTTTATTTTAATTATAATTTGTAGCAAACATTTCATTTTTTTGTCATCTGATTTGGTAGACAATTATTTATTTTTGGTATATAATTAGCCTTTGTATACATTTTGGTATAAAATTTATAAAATGCATTTGTCTTTGTATAAAGCGAGAGAAAAATATATATACAAATACAAATACATATATTTTCGTCTTATACACTTATAATTATACATCTACATATTTTATTATACAAATTACAATGAGTAAATGAATTTATACGAAACTGAACAATTTGTATAAATTTGGATGTTTTTAGCGAATTATACAAATCAAAAGCTCCATAACAAACAAAAAATTTGTTATGGAGTGTAATTATGCAAACTATAACTATAATATACAAATATGATTTTTATGTTTGTTATATGTGAAAATTGCTCAAAAATCAATCCAAGATGAAGTTCTTATGCACAAATCCTTAAAAAATTGGGAGGATTGGAACATCACTTTTTGGGTTATATTTGACACCCCTAGTCTAGGTGTTCAAAGTGAAATATCTACACTAGTTTACGGGGGCTTTTTTATGTTACATTTTTTACCCACTAAGCTCACCGTTATATTTTGTTAATGCATAATGTCAATTTGCAAGATTTTTCTTAAAACTTTTATAAGTATGAAACTTTAGTTAAAACGGAGAGACAATTGTATTAACGAAAATGGATCTTAAATCTACAGTTCAAAGCGTGATTTTCCTAATGTTTATTGTGAATTTGTAATTTTTTTCAAAGTTTTTGTATCTATCATTTATATAACGATAAAATGAAAACATATGTAAGTAGCTTTTTAATGAATGCAGCTCTAATACAAAGTTGAGGATATATTTTCCTCTTAAAATAGAAAGAAGATAAATAGTACTTATTAGATTGATCCCATTCGTCATCACAAAGTGAATTTTGTTCAGTTGCTAAAGCTAAGAATGTTTCACACGCTTTCAAATGCTGAAAAGTTAGTTTATTACTAAATAATGTACTAATTGTTAACGTCTTTAATTATCTAAAAAAAATGTAATTATTGGGGTCTCTTTTGGTACCATTGACTAATGGACGTGTAGTTTGAGTAAGCAACAAGTGAACAAAGTAGTCTTTGTTATTGTTTGCCTTATTCTTTGGTTTGAAATAAATGATAGCACATCATTTGAAAGAGAGAGATGGAGAGAATACAATTCACTCTCCTTCTTTCTATTTCTCTATGCAGTTGAAGTGGTTTCTTTTGCTTTTAGGCATCCACTTTGCTCTTTTTTTGGTTTTTCACCCGGTGTCTGGAGCCCACATTGAAGCTCCGACTAAATTTGGATTGCGCTCTGCAGGGCCCGTTCGGGAGTGGCGCTCCCAACAAGATTTTCTCCATATCCAGGGCTCGAACCTGAGACCTCTGATTATGGGTGAAGCACTCCAACAATGGGTTGGTCCACTTTGCTCTTCTCATGATTCCGTTGCACTTCTACACATCAAACATTCACTTGTAGCCTATTCTAAGTGGACGTTTTGGAATACAACTAGTAATGATTGTTGTAGGTGGGATGGAGTTACCTGCGATAACTTCACTGGCCATGTTATTGGTTTGGACGCTCAGTTATAACATTCTTGAAGGAATTATCCATCCCCAATAGTAGCCTTTTCTAGCTTCGTCATCTCCAAACACTTGATCTTTCGGGGAATGACTTATGGAGTTGTCCATTTCCACAGGGAATTGGTCAGGGGTCCACTACCTTTCACTGCTAACAGACTTCAAAATCCGATTACCTCAATTTGTCATTTAACTCACTCAATGGCTCAATCCCTTCTCGGATGCTTAGTCTTCCTTCATTGATTCTGTTATCACTGGGGAGGAATTGTTTCAGTGGACCACTTCCTGAGTTCAAGACCAACTCCTTTATTTGTTTCAAAATCAACTCTATGGTCTCATACCTCAATCGTTTAGAGATCTTGTGAATCTAACTTATGTCAATCTTGAACAAAATAAGTTGAGCGGAGAGATTGTAGCAGAAATAATGTTATCAAGCATGATAAACCGTTATCTTTCTCATAGTGGTTTATCATGGAGTAGCAACAAGGATAATATCAACGTCACCTTTCCCTATCGATTTTGGATCTCTCGGAGAATGAAATTCACGGGCAGTTCCCAAAATGGTTTGAGTGCATTGAAAAGCCTTACAAGCTTAGACCATCTACCTTGATGATAGTTGACCTACAAGCTTAGACGTTCTCATATTGAAATCAAATGTATTTTATGGACCCCTTGGTGGTTTCCAAACAAAATCTCCATTTCCAAATGAGGATTTTTTGTGAAATTAGGTCTTAGGCCTAACTCACACCCAAAAGCTAGCTCAAAGGGAGGAGGATTACCCAAGCCTTATAAGGAGTCCACCCATCTCATTAACCACTGATGTAAGACTTTTGTCATTCACAATCATATAAAAATTTCAATAACTTCTCAAATTCCATAATATGACATAAATTAAAATAAATAAAAAATATATATTGGGCCCCGTGCTGGCACGGGGTCCTATATCTAGTATATATATATATATATATAATTATTTTAATATAAACTCACCTCTTGAGGTTGATTTTATTAATTAAACATATATAATTAAACTACACATCAACATATAATATATGTATATGTATACATACATATATATACATCTATGTATATATATATATATATTTTAATATAAACTCACCTTTTGAGGTTGATTTTATTAATTAAACATATATATATATATATATATATATATATGTATCACATTAAATTTTAAGAACACAAAATGGTCCTCCGGAAAACGATTTAAATAAAATTAAATCAAAATAGAAAATAATACCGACATCAAGAGGTCGGTTTTTATTGTAATTCATTTTCTGGGAAAAATTCCGACTTCTTGAGGTCGGAATTTGGTTTACCCGCAAATCGCAAACCAACCTCCGGATGTCGCTTTTAAAAGTAATTAGATGAAATAAAAATACCGACCTCCGGATGTCGCTTTAATTAATAGTCGAAATAAAAATACCGACCTCATGAGGTCGGTATTTTAATTACATACTATTTAATTTTTACCGACATTCGGAAGTCGGTATTATGAAATATTTAATTGAGAAAAAATTCCGACCTCAGGAGGTCGGAATTTTTAATGAATTACAATAAAAACCGACCTCTTGATGTCGGTATTATTTTCTCAAATAAATATAAAAAATACCGACCTCATGAGGTCGGTATTTTATATTAATTTATTTTTACTATTTAATTTTCCCAACATACGGAAGTCGGTATTATAATTTTTTTTGTTTTTTATTTTACACAAAACCTATTGAGAAAAAATAAAATATTGTTATTTATTTATTTTTTAATACCGACATCAAGAGGTCGCTTTTTATTGTAATTCATTTTTTCCGAGAAAATTTCCGACCTCCAGAGGTCGGAATTTGGTTTTCCCGCTTTCCGCAAATCGACCTCCGGATGTCGCTTTTAAAAGTAATTAGATGAAATAAAAATACCGACCTCCGGATGTCGCTTTAATTAATAGTAATTAGATGAAATAAAAATACCGACCTCATGAGGTCGGTATTTTAATTACTTACTACCGACATTCGGAAGTCGGAATTATAAAATATTTAATTGAGAAAAAATTCCGACCTCCTGAGGTCGGAATTTTTAATGAATTACAATAAAAACCGACCTCTTGATGTCGGTATTATTTTCTCAATTAAATATAAAATATACCGACCTCATGAGGTCGGTATTTTTATTGTAATTCATTTTTTCCGGGAAAAATTCCGACCTCCGGAGGTCGGAATTTGGTTTTCCCTCTTTATTTTGAATAAAAACCGACTACTTGTAAATACCGACCTCCGGAGGTCGGAAATTACCGACCTCCATTTGATGTCGGAAATTTTTAGGTCGGTATTCACTGTTTTTTTAGTAGTGCAATTCCTGGTGTCTTCATGGGATACTCCTCCATAAAGAAAGGCTACTCCATCTATGATCTTCAGTCCCAATCCTTCTTTGTCAGTAGAAATATAGTGTTTCATGAGTCCATATTTCCTTTCCTTCATACCAAGTCTCTTGGTTCTCCTATGTTTTCTATTCTGCAGTTCTCTCATCTGGAAGTTCCTTCTAGTAGTCCTTCTCCAA